ACTAGAAACTAAAAAGATTGATTACCTACAAGGCATGGAAAAGAAATAGAAACAAAGGTGAGGAGATAGAAATGTAGTAGGAATAAGGACAGAGTGACACTTCTCTGAGTATACGTTTTAAAGTAGTAGTGTTTAGAAACTATAATGTTTCATATACCAAAATAATAATAATAATAATCATTAAAATTGACCAGGATTGGGGGGAACCCAAAATGGAATACAAACAGTAAAAAATGAACCTAACTGTCTTACAGATGAATAACATAACAACACTAAAGGGATGGGGGGAAGAAAATAACTTTGGAAAACAGTACTTTGACTAGATATTGTAAGGCTAAAGACAAAAAGAATTACCCACAAATACTCTAATTAGTAAGTATGTTTTTCATAAGGGTATGAATCAGCTATAACAACTTGATATGCATTCTAGAAGTGAACAAATAAGTGTGTATATGAGAACCAGGTTCCTGACAGAGAAAGATAAAGAAAGGGGGAAGGTTAGAATGAGCCTTGTGATGTTGGTTTGGAACAGAAAGTATCAATATCAACTCATGGTTTTTTACATATATAAAAATATAGGTATAAATGTGTGCACGCACATGCATGGGTTAGTATATATATTTCCTAGTTCTGTCATCTGAAGGCCTAGGAGTAATAAGAACCCAATAAACATACCAAGTAAACAGATTTAGATATTAAATACTGTTCTCCAATAAAAGGAACCGAAGTTTCTTGGAGAAGTAGGTGATTCCAGGACTGGGGCAGAAAAAATATGAGCATGGAACAGTAGTGGCCCCAGTATATAAGACAAGTGCTTGGCTGGGCATGGTGGCTCACACCTGTGATCCTAGCAATCTGGGAGCCTGAGGTGGGAGGATTCCTTGAGATCAGGAGTTAGAAACCACCCTGAGCAAGAGTGAGACCCCATCTCTACTAAAAACAGAAAAATTATCCAGGTGTTATGGTGCATGCCTGTTGTCCCAGCTACCGGGGAGGCTGAGGCAGTCAGGAGGATTGCTTGAACCCAGGAGTTGGAGGCTGCTGTGAGCTAACACCAAGGCACTCTAGCCCAGGCAACAGAGTGAGACTCTATCTCAAAAAAAAAAAGACAAGTGCTTGAAAAAGAGTGGAGGCAAACCAGAAAGAGCTCCCAATGTCCACAAGTGGAACAATTTGAGCAATAAAATAAATAATGATAGTACTGAATTATAACTTGTGAATAAATACTCATAAGAACATACTGATATAAGTAATTGAATAAATGAGGAAGAAGGGACATTTCTCTCTTACAGAAGAATTCCAATTAACAAATGTAAAAAGAAGGAATGAGGGAAATCCAGAAACACCATTAGGCAAACACCACAGTAATAACTGTTGCAGAGAAAATCCACCAGTGGATGTTAAAATCAATGGGAGAAAGTTTGACGAGAAACAGTGTATCTGCATAGTCTCAAAGAATCTGCCCCAAGATATGTATCAATTATAAAGGGAAGAATAGTAACTTTACAGTGAAGAAACAACAGAAGCCACTTTAACAAAGTGATCAAGGTTAAAATAACACTAGCAATAAAACATATCAAAACCATGTACTCCCTAATAATATGCATAGAGAAGGACACAACATCACTTCTATAGTTTTCTTGAAAACCATGCATAACTACCACAATCTAATCATAAGAAAACCATTAGACAAAGACAAAAATGAGAGAAATTCTACAAAATAACTGATGAGTACTCATCAAAAGTGTCAAGGTCACGAGAAACAATGAAAAACTGAGGAACTGTCAGAGATTGGAGGAGACTAGGAAAACACAACTAATGAAATGTGGGATCCTCAATTCCTGGAACAGAAAAAAAGGCATTAAAGAGAAAAATCGGTGAATAAAAATCTATGCTTTCCTTAGTAGTATTATACCAATGCTAATTTCCTGGCTTTGCTAATTATACTATGGTTACGTAAATTGTTGATATTAGTGGATGCTGAGTGAGAATATAAGAACTATGTACTATCTGTGTAATTTTTCTGTAAGTCTAACATTATTTCAAAATAAATTAAAAATAAATAAATAAGGGTGGCACAGTGGCACCACAGTGGCACCTTGGGAGGGCAAAGCAGAAGGATCACTTGAGGCCAGGAGTTCAAGATTGGGCTGGGCAACATAGCAAGGGAAACCCCCATCTCTACAAAAAATATAAAAAATAACCAGGCATTGTGGCCTGTGTCAGTTACTCAGAAGGCCAAGGCAGGAGGTTTGCCTGAGCCCAGAAGTTTGAGTTTGCAGTGAGCTGGGAGGATGTGCTGCATTCCAGACTGGGCAGTGACACCCTGTCTCTAAATAAATAAATAAAATCCATCAGTCAATCATCTGATGCCACTGTCATATTTCCTTGCTCAGGGATCTCATCTGGAATTTAACATTCCCATTAATTCAGAAGACCCAGTAAATAACAGCAGAACAAACTAAATTCATAAAAATCATATCTAGCACCTAGTAAGTAAATTACCTATTCTATGCTCCCTTACTATTTATTTCTTTAGTTAAAAAAATAAATGCTGACAGATGTGCTTTTATTGCCTTTGCAAACTTTTTAAATGACTTGACCAACTTTTATGTTTTCAATATCATGATAATTTGCAGTATGCACCTGTAACAATACATTTCATGTGTCTATTAAGGCAAAGTTTTATTTACAATAAAAAAAACTATCTTCAATAGATTACAGTAACTTTGTTACTTGTTCTTATATAGTTGTCCAACTATAAAATTTAAGTTTTGTTTCACAAGTTTCCTTTTATCCTAATACAAACTTCTCCCCACACCCCAAACCACAATGTCATTATCATCAATTTAAGATCCAAAAATCTGAATTTTAAAAGCTCAGATGTTCAACGTATCCAGTCCTTTTTTTTCTGTCTAATATTAAGGACTATTTAGTCCTACTTAGTTGAGAAAAAATGCTTGGGACATTAGAATTTTATTAGTATTTATTCTTTATATCCTCTACTAACAAATCCAGTCAAATCAACAACACATTCTCAGAAATTCCTTTAAATCAAATGGGATTTTCAGGAGATGTTTATATTAATGAGAAAATTAAGTGACATGTTTACATTTCCTTTCTCCTCCATATACCACCAGCATAACTGCACTAGGAATGGAATACATAACCAGCAAAAGGATGGAAGTGTCACATGCAAAAGGTATGACTGGAAATTTAAGAAGCAAAATGGTAAGAACCTTAGGGAAAGCAAAATTCATAAAAGTTTAGAATTACAAGGAGCCTTAATAGGCCATTTAATCCATTCCAATGACAACAACCTCAGACAGATGACCATCTATCCTATTTTTAAAAGCCACCAGATTTCCAACCTCTCTAGATATTTCATTCTGCCATACAATCCTGTCATGTGATTTGGGGGAAATATTATGACTGTACTTTGCCCTACCTAATGCTGTTTGTTTTCAAATAATATAACAATACATTTTTAACTCGCATCCAGGATATATAAATGTGTACAGGTACAGAATATAGAGATGTATATATGTACGTATATGCATAAAACAGGCACCTAAGACACTCAATTTTGCTTGTATAAACAAAAGATACAGAAACATACAAGTCAAAGGCATAAACCCATTCCACACTAATCACAAAAAGTACTAGGAAACAATGTCACAACAATTTTGTTCTAAAAATAACCAATAGAAATCAATTTTATAAAACCTTGAGGTAATTAGGGTCTCTTACCACTATGAATAACCACAGTTTCTTTGCTTTTCACAAACACTGCCCCTTTTTGAGCAACCACTACAAGCAAAATTGTAAAAATACTTATTAGATCCAAGTAATTGATTTTTTTAACGTTTGTCTTTTCAAATCATTTAGCTGACAATCATTTTGGAAGAGGGCCCACTGAAAGAGATAGTAATGACAGAGTACAGCCAGTGATAATGAACGAGTAACCAGTTTTAATCAAGCAGGCCAAAGAAATGATTCAAGTAAAATAAATCATTTTTGGAACATATATAGAATAGGGAAGTCCCATGCGAGGAAGAGCCAAGCACTACTTGAAAAAAAAAAAAATGTGTCTGTTTGAAAATACACCAAAATGTTACCTATGAAATGCTACTTCTGGAGTTGGAATTACAAAGATGGGTTTGTTCAGACTTGTTGTTCCTATTATTAGATTATCCATATTTTCTAAGTATTAGAGACTTTCTTTAAAAGGAAAATTCTGTCCCTGTGTTTCACTCTCTAAGATAGATAGCATGTCTTTTACATAACCTCCGGGGAGAGGAGGTACCAGCTCCTGTCCTCCTGATGTCTCCCAGGAACCTGCCACCCATCACAGTAAAGCTTTCACCGTGCTCCCTGGGACAGCTCCTGTCATCATCACCCTCATCTCACTCTGGAGACTACACAATGCGCCTCGCCTTCCCTCCCGGCAGCAGAGGCTTTATAATGTGTTGTTTTATCGGGGCGGTGGGTTTCGAGGAAGGTTTACCAGACGATGAGCTGCCCCCACCCAGAGGCAGAGGAGAGGAGAAAGACACGTCGTCCCAACCTCCAGCCCTCTAGATGCGGCTGGCACCTGGGGGCACCGGGGTCGCGGCTCTACCCGGATCCCGACAGAGAGGCGGCCTGCGGCCTCCGCGCCCAAGCGCCGGTCGGGGGAGGGGCGCTCGTTGGCGGATAAAAGAGTGAGAGAGAAGGTCAGAGACGCGACCACCGAGCGGCTGAGGGACAGGTACAGCAAGCTGCCGGAGGGGCGGGTCCCCGGGCCCTCTCCGGCGGGCGGCTCGGCTTCTAACGCGGCTGCGCCTCCCGGGCCGGGGACCCGCACCGCGCCGGGAGGGCTCCCTCAGGCCTCCGCCTGCTGCCCACCCGGGACCCCGGCAGCCCTGCTCGGCGGCGGCCCCGGAACGGCCCCGGCCGGCCTTGCGCCGAGGGCCGAGCACACGCACGGATGGCCAGGAGGACAGAAGAGGAGGCGTTACCGTACGCGGCTCTGGAGCAGGCGGGGGTGGGGCGCGGTTCCAGCGACCCGAGCCGGGCTCGGCAGCGGCTGCGGCGGCCGCGTCCTTTATTTTTTGCTGCAGCAGCGGCGACTTGTCAAAGGGAAAGACGTAAGAGGCGGCGGCAGGCGAATCTCGCGGGATTTGGGCGGAACTCTCGCGCAGTCTGGCGCGCTCGCCCCGCCCCCCAGACCCAGCGCGGGAGGCCAGACGCCGGTGAGGCGGAGCGAGGTTGCCGGCTGAAGGAAAAGGGGAATGGGACTTGTGGGTGGGGGAAGCCAACCGAGGTTCTAGGGTCATCCTGCTGCTGAGCATCCCTCACCTTTAAGCCTTCGCGGAGTCCGGACGTCCGCCCGCGGCGTCCGGACTCCTTCGCTGAGGCACAATTGAAGGCGTTTCACAGAGGGCGGTGAGGAGTAGGGGGCCAGATGGCGCGCCCCGTTTTCCTCGTCGCCGGCGGGGAAAACCCCACCGCCCCGCGTCCGGGTGCTGCCGGAGTAAGGGACACGTGGGAAAGCTGGCGGCTGGGTTGGGGGCCACACCCCTTTTTATGTCCGAAGCGCGCCTGGTGCGCTGTGCTCTTTATCTCCCATCATAGCGGAGCCTGCCGTCCGGCCGGGCAAGTTCAATCCCGTGAAAGCGTCTCACTTGACCTACTCCCACCTCGTTATTGCTGTCTTTGTGCGCTGCAGGGCGGCAGGACACTGGGGCCTGCCACTCGGTTTTCTTTTCTGCTGGGGGACACTGAAGTAAATTGTCTTTTGGGTGACTTACATTCTTGACCGTGACCCCGACGTCTATCTACAAAGAAGCCCAGTGAGGAGACGGATATTGACTGGCCTAACATAGATTCTGGTGGTCATTAAATTGTCAAATGAATATCCCTCCCCCATAATCCCACCTTCCACCTGCCACCTCCACCTCCTGTATCTTTTTTTTTTTTTTTTTGGAGACAGGGTCTTGCCTTGGGAGGCTGAGGCAGGAGGATCACTTGAAGCCCAGAGTTCAAGACCGGCCTGAGCAACATAGGGAGATCTCGATCTCTACAAAAAATAAGAAAAATCAGCTGGGCATGGTGGTGTGCATCTGTAGTCCCAGCCACTGTACCTATCTTTACTCCTACACTCCCAATTTTCAAAATATTCTGTTACACTGAGTACCAATTATTCGTAACTAATTGTGAGGATGTGGAGCCAAAAAATGGAGCTGGTCGGTCTGCTCTCTAGAAGTTCACAATCTAATTGGAGGCATAGGAGGAACACACAAAGAACATACAGGCCACGTATGCCTCCTAATGTAAAAAAATTATGGTATTGTAACAGAAGGGCCTGGAAAAGGGCAAAATGTATTACAAGTTGTCTTTTTAAACCCCACCACCACCACCACTCTTTGGGATTATTAAAACCTGCATTCCTGCCTGAGGCCAGTGATGAGAGGGGCTTTGCTCTTTGTACCACAGGAGATGGCTCAATGGAATTGTCCAGATTGTCTTCACCTGTGATGCTATAGTTAAACAGCAATAGCTGGAAGCTGAAAACTTTCTTTAAAAGCTCTGTATTCCTGCTTATAGACAGGATGATAGTACTTTAAGAGTCTGCCATCCTCTTCATTTGCCGGCAAATTATTAATTTCTCTTTCCTTTTCCTCATACCACTTGTCCTCATTCTTCTGATGTGGCCTTGGTGCGGCTTTGGGTACAAATGCCAAACTTTCAGTAACAGTATGGGCAGACAAGGGAGTACTTGTCCATAGTTACTTGGATATATGTGTGTGTCATGTGAGACGGTTTAGCTCAAGAGTTAGGAACCACTCAATATCAGACACTGGTGAGAATTCTGGAATCCCCTGTAACAAATGTGTGACCTTGGGCAAGTTGCTTGACCTCTCTAAACCTCAGTTCTTTATCGATCAACTTACAATAATAGTTCTTATCACAGGGTTCCTCTGAGGAGTAAAATATGTAAAGCTCCCAGCACATATTAAGTACTCATTAAATGGTAAGTCTTATGTGTGTAACTTTTAAGTTCCTATGTATAAAATATGTGTCTATTTCTGGTAAGCTAGACCTGAGGAAGTAAATATATAAGCAGTGATGTCATTGTTGCTAGTGCTTTATGATTTTAGTTTTGGGTTCAAAGCTGACTCAAGACCAACAGGCTTTCTTGTCTTCTTTGTTTTAACATATTGATGATGTATCCTTCTATGCCACTCACAAATATAATATTCCATGTTCTTGAATTTGTGAAACTGTACTGCTTTTGCCCATTCTCTTTTAAGAAAAGAACTGTGCTTACTTTAAAGGCCAATTAAGAGATTCTCTCCATTGCCCTCTTCTTAGATTCCAACCCTCAGAGCTGTGTGGAAAAGAGAATTGAATACAATTGAGTTCTGTTGCATACAATTAATAAATATACTTAGTGTCAGCAAGTAAGCACTGACTACTTTCCATTCTCATCTCGATGCCATCCCTCTTTCACAAAACATTATTTCATATATCTGCTAGAGTCTTTTTGTCCAATTCATTCTCCCAACTATACCAGTTCACCACCAATTTTATCCAGATTTCTCCTAAAGAAAAGTATTGGAGATGGGAGTGGATAGAGGGATCTCAAAACATTATTTCAAACATCTGCTGGAGTCTTTTTATCCACCTTCTTCTCCCAAGTACACCAGTTTACACTAATTTTATCCATATTTCCCCTGAAGAAAAGTGTTGGAGATGGGAGGAGTGGATAGAAGGATCTGAAGGCCAAGACCTCAGCATCACAGGCCCTTCCCCTGATAGTCCTCTGAGCAGCACACTCAGGCCACACCAGTCAACCACATCTTGCTCCCCTCACACCCATCACCCCCACCTCCTGCCACGCATTCCACAGGCTCACACCACAGCCAGGAGGTCCCAGGCAGAGGAACTGGAGAATCAACAGAAGAATATATATTTTTCATCTGCATATAGGAAATATATGGCTCCTAAATAAAAATTAGGGCTAAGTCAGAAGTGAAGAAATCCAGCAGAGGAGTAAATATGGAGACAGAGCAGCAAGGGGTAGGAAAGACTGTTGGCATAAGTTTGTGTTGCCCTTGGCACTTGTCTTAGGAAACAAATATCTCTGAAAACAGAAAAGAGCTCCAAAGCAGGAATGCACATACACGAGTCCTTGTATCTCCAGAAACTGCAGCCTCTTTGCCCTCACATTACACAGCCTTTCTGAACCTAGTCTCGTATCGGTAAATAGGGGTCCTAATGGGTTTCCTGCCTGCCTCAGAGTATCATGAGAGTCAAATAACCTAAGAAAGTATTTTGTAAGCTTAAAATGCTATTTAAATGTGAGGCATGATTATTGATTCATTCACTTAACAGATCTTTGTTGAATGCCTGTCCATAAGCCAAGCACTGTAGAAAGCACTAAGTATACTATTGAGCAAACTTTAATACTTGTCTTCAAGGAGCTTATGGTCTAATGGAAGGAGATAGGGAAGAAAATAGATAATTATAATACCATGTGAGGAGAGTGCAACTGATGAGGGTATGGGGAAAGGAGGGAGTAAGAAGAAAGGCAAAGAGAGCTGAAAATAACACACCTAATGAGGATCCAGCCCCTTTCATGAAGAGTGATTCCTAAATCAACTCCAAAATAACTTCAACAAATTACTCTGTTGTAGGTTGTGAATTCTGTTTTGTTCTAATAAAACTCATGTCTCCTAAACCATTAGAAAAGAGTCTTTGATGTGGAGTCATTACATACACCCATTAGCTTTGAAGAAAAATGGAATTAATGGAGGAAAAAAATCAGTGGTATCTTAATTGGAAATATTTTGTTCTTACAGCTTGTTTTAAACACCAGAAAGAGAATGCATTCCACCTCAAATGCTTAGTCCCTAATAGTTCCCTTCAGCCAGTCTCTAAGCACATTTAAGATAGGCTAGGCTAACTATGATATTTGGTATATTAGATGTATTAAAGGTATTTTTTACTTATGATGGGTTTATCAGGGTGTAACCCCATCAATAGTGTAGGAATATCTTGTACTCTGCTTCTTTACAAAAAGACTTTGAGATGGCTATTAACACTTTATTCATAATCATTTTCCCCACAAAGAAACTCCAAGAGGGTATCAGTCAATCATGTCTCACATTTATTGAGTGACTACTGAAAGGGGCAGCCTTGCAAAAAAGAACAGGAAAATACCTAACCCCACAATTTCCCCAGTAACAGTTAAAAATCAATTCTATGAGTTCTCTCACCAACAGGCATCCTGCAGGAGTTCTGTTTTGCACAACCTCTGAAAAGAGCTGAATAGAGGGAAAGAGATGTAAATCTCTCTTTCAAAATTGCTTTGAGAATCTGCTTTTTACAAGTCTAAAGGGTTCCTGAGCGAATAGCAGGGTGCAAACTCCAGGCCTCAGCCATATCTCAAGGACAGAGTCACATTTCCTGTGATAATCCCTTCTCCAAGGAAAGGCAGGAGAGCCAACTCTTGGACTTTGACATCCTCACGGTTTTTGTCATATACCTGCTGCCAAGAAGAAAGAAAGGAGCAGATGCAGCAGTTTCTCGACTGTACCCTGCCATTTTACAACCCCCTTTAAAAAGCCTCAATAGCTGGTTTTCGGGACCAGCACATTCTTCCTTTTCCACCTCTGTGCTGGTCTTTTCCCCCCACTTCCCTAGGGAAAAGTCAATAAACCTCTTCTTTCTATCCTAATCTCTATATAAGAAATCTTTCTCCTCCCGCACCTTGAGCACCTACTAAGCTTTCCACCCTAACACCTACCATGCATAAGACATTGTACTAGAGCTATAGGCTATACAGAGTATGTCCATGCCCTTTAGAAGTCTGAAAACTAAAGGTGGAGATAAATATCCTTGGAAATACAGCTAAATAATCAAAAATTCTATCCCTTTATCCCTATAATGATTCTATCCTCAATATTTGTCATAGGTTGTATGAGTAAAATTGCAAAGTTAGGTACCCAACTTCTGAAACTTGTTTATACTACTCCTCCAGAGAAGCAGGATACCAAGGAAGGGCAAGATGTTAATTGTAAGTTGATATTTATAGATCTATGA